TATTAAAAGATAAAAAATGACTATAATACTCTTTGTAAGTGATAATCACTATAGTATAGATTGCAATCATGAGAAAAAAATATGATCTTTGGTGAAATTAAGACTTTTCTCTGGCCAATAAATATCTTTGGAGATAGTAAGTGGTTTTTTTGCAAGTTGATGAGTAGCTTCTTTCCCGTCACACTTCACGTGTTCCACTAAGCACTTGTTAAAACTTCACATGTTCCACTAAGTACTTGGAGATAGTGAAGTGAACCTCATTAAAGATGCTAATTGTTCAATTATATTTGTGATTTGTAAATGAGAATAATTGAGTTTAATTTAATCTAGCAAACGAATAAACCAGGCCTCTCATTGCTCCATTTGTTCCACTTTATTTAATTTAGAATTTTCCTATATGAATAGGATGACACGTTGTTGTCTTATTTCTAAGACTTTTGGAGAAATAAATTTTTTGTTTGGGTAATCTTCCAAAGATTTATTATATATATATCTATATGTGTGTGTGTGTGTGTGTGTGTGTGTGTGAGTGTGTGTGTGTGTGTAAAGATATGCACATAGTCTTCATGTCATTATGTTTGTAACTAACCATTTTTAATATTTTTTTAATCTCTAGACCAGAATTTTGAGATGATCTTCCAACTAACTCTTATTCATTTTGATCAAAGTGTGGTTAAGGTTTGTGAGTTAACGTTGTTTAATTTCTCTCTTGGTTAGTCAAATTTGATGTGAACAAATATGACATGATATTAATGCACGAGCTTATTGTAGGAACATCTACCTACTAATTTCTCTTTTATTGAAATCTAAAACAGCCAATTAAATTTCCTTTGCCAAATTTTTGGTACAAAAAAATGAGTAAGGCTTGGTCCTGCCAATCACAATCAAAGTGTTTTAAAGATAAGTATATTAAGCTCATTGTTTTGATAAATATTTTTCTTCTTTTATTTATTAAAAATCATCAACTTGGTTATCTGCTATTAAATCGATTTTTTTTTTTAACAAAAAAGGCTTGGAAGTCAGCATAAAAAAAAATATGAATTAACCATATAAAAGTATTAATCAAATTTATGTTTCCAATCTCAATCTAAATTTTGATATACATAATTTTTTGTTCTTGTAAGAAAAACTACTACAAGTTTTGTTTATTTTTGTTATATAACTAGTATTTAAAAAATTGCTAGATGTATTAAATAATGCGAGCAATGTTTAAATCGAAACTTCAAACCAAAAACTCTTTTGCAATGAATATGTCGAACTGTGAAGCTAATAAAGACACTTTCCTAGCTCGTAAAGACTCATAAATAATTGTATGATTCAATTAAATTGAGTGTTGCGGTTTCGTCAAAATGAAAGTGGCCAGAGTTGGTTGAATCTATTCAGGATATATTTAGAAACCCGTCCTTGGTATCTTTAAAGAGGAAAGCAAAAGTTGAAAGACTAGTGAGTAATTGGAAGGCACAAATGTTTAAAGTTTAACGTTGATGGAGCTTCATAGGGGAAACCAGTAGTGGTTGGTATTAACGACATTGGCAAACTTCCTTTAAGGTGAGTGGTGTCACATGATCACTCATTTACTAAAAATTTTTACTTTACATACTACTTATCTAGAGTTTTATATAGTTAATGTTGTTAATGAATTCACTAATTTTTTTATAATTTTGGAAGGACTAAGGTCAAAGATTCCAAGTCCAAGTAAATTTATCAAAAAGTAATTTATGTATTAATTTTATGTCATTTGTGGATATTTATACTTAGTTTTGATTAATGAATAGAAATTTGTCAAATTGTTAGTTGTTGAACTTGATAATTTGTTATGTAAGATCATATTTATAATGAGAAATGAGTAATAATTTTGAACCGGTTTTTAGATAAATAAGTTATGAAAATATATTTTAAAATATAAGAAATTGTCTTTCAAAACTCAAGTCTCGGGCAACAATAATATAATTCTAGTGATGATAGTACTCAACAATCTTCTAAGTAAAGTTATGTTGAATTTGATCTAATAACTTTCCCAGCAAATCCTAGATTGAGATTTTTTTTCCAAAATTATTATTATTATTAAAGTTATGACACCATTCAGAAAAAATTCTGGATCCGCCCTTGATTGGTGAGGTATTGCATAATCATACAAGGTATACAAAAGCTAAATTTTCCAAATCAATTGGAAGAGGAGATTTGAATCTAGTAGAAATTTTAGCCATCAGCGAAACCTTCATTACTTTCTCTAATTTATCTCTGAGTAATCATGTTGATCAATGGATTCAAAGCGATTTAAAAAAATGCTGTCACATGGGTTGAGAATCCAAATGAGACCACTTAGCAATTCATAAAATGGCTAGTTGATATTGAAAACATGCAACGTTTGATTCAAAGTTGGAAAGTCTCTCATATTCTTCGCAAGGCAAATTGTGAAGCTGATAAGTTGGCTTTGGAAGGGATTAACCATAGAGTTGAGTTGTACCAAAATTTCAATGGTTGAGAAACTCTTAAATGCACTGGTAGGCTGTCCAGTACGGTGTGAGTATTTGACAAAAGAAAATTTAATTTTATATGGAGCGGATAATACAAATATAAAGGTGCATTGGAGTGCGACACTTCTATTAAGGGCAATGATTTTAATTTGGTTCCTAATCCACAGAAGGCTTGGTATTTTAATTGAGTTTGGATTTTAATATTGAGTTTATAGAGTTATAGTTGAACTCGACTATCATTTATGAAGTGTTGGGATTGGGTGAGAAATGAATCAACCGATTTCAGAACATCTATCATGGGTTTTGGACAGCCTAAATTAATCTGATCAGTATTCAAACAAAAAAGTGAGACATGTCGAGGTGGATAGGGGCATTTAATGTTGGTGAAAATTGAAGTAGATAAATAACTCAAAGAAGTTTGAGGCATAATACATTGTCTTTAAGAATAATTTTCATCCTTTTGAAATATGAAACTCAGTGAAAAATGATTAAATTCATTATCCCCTAATTTCAATAGACTCTTTCAGAATAGTTTGCACAAAAAAGAAAGAACCTAGCAAGGTTAAGCAGAGAATAGGAAAAAAGGAAAAGTGATTTTTGGTGTGTTGAGAATGAATGTGGAGGCTAGTATTTATCGGGAAGGGATGACTATTTAGAAAATCAGAAAATATCAAAAAATAAACCTTAAGAATATTCTCGTGAGGTATTTGAGGATAGGGAATTAGGAAATAAATGGTAAAACTTTGATTCTTTAATAGTTTAATTTATAACAACATGATGTATTTTGGTTAGCAGTCTCAAAGACCAATTCAAATTGTATTTTCCAAAGTCTTTCCCACCACAGTAAAAAGACTTAGTCAAGGTAAGGTGAAAAAGCTGAAGATAAAAAAAAAAAGACATATAATCAAAGTATCAATTAAGACAATTAAGACACAAAAACACAAATTCTGAAATCTATTTAATAGACAAATTAAATGACAAGATCTATCTAAGCCTAAAAGGCAATTGCCATAAAGAATTGGTGCAATAGGATGATACATGTTCGGATGTTCCCATTCCAAACTTCCAAGCTTCTCTTTAATTGGAACATTCCGACCCATCAAATAATTAATCATTACTGGAAGCCTGTCCATATCATATGGTAAGAAATATATTAGTTGCTGTTGGTTATAAGTAGTTAGTATGCAAAATTTTCTTTTTGAAGTATAGAAGATACTAAATATTAAAATAAAAAATAAAACTTCAAAAAGGCACTCTTAACATATAGTACACAAACATAGTGAAATAACAATAGCTATTTTTTCCCTAACAGAAGAAAGGACCGGTCGCTGGTGAAACAGAGTCATTATTATAAACAAAAACTTCTTTTCTTTTTTTTTGAAAAGCTTATGAACAGAAACTATAGCCCCATTTTTTACACTAAAGATTAACCCAAATATTTAGAAGGCTTTATTAATTTATTCCCTTATGAAGGAGGGAACAAACAAGTAGCTACGAGTATCTTGACATGTATAGAGTCATTATCTTAAATAACATTTTGATTATAACCCAATAGCAGGCAACTTGAGCTGTGGACTGCCCTACTAGAATCCAACAACACCAAACAAACCATCAAGACGGATGAGACTCGAGACTCCAGCTTTCGTTTCTTTCTTTGTGTTTGCAATAAAAGATAGTTGGAAAGATGGAAATCTTGGTGTCTCTTCCTATTGTATGGAGAGGTTTATATAGACTTTAAATGGTAACTGTAAGTGATAGACATTGTGCTCCACTACGATTATGCTTACAAATGGAAATCGAGTTAAGTTGGTCATATTTTTTGAGTGTGCAACGAGAAATCAGGATTATAAGATAACTGGTATATTTTTAATGGAATCAATTATTTAAGAAAAATTATTGATTATATCGTCTTCAAAGAAGTTAACGTTTTTGCAGATTCTGTAATTAGATTCAGTGTTGACAAATCAGACATTTATACTTGATGGTAATATGAGTTGAGAACTAATGTTTTCTAATAGTTGCTTAGCTTAAATTTAAGTTTAGATGTTTGTTATGACTTCTTAAATTGCTGATCTTCCCTTTTTGGACAAGCAATTTAGATCCATTATCTGATATTAATAAAATCTTTATTTGACTGAAAGAAAACAATTAGTCGATTTTTGTTATGATTAGGTTGTATGTAGTATTTTTTTTTCCTGAAATATATAAGATACTAAACATTAAAATAAACAACAAAAGTTCAGAGAAACAGTCTTAATATATAACATACACACAAGTTACATAACATAACATAAAGCGATTTCTTTCCGACAAGGGGAAACAACCAATCGCTTGTGAGTTGTTACATAGAGTCATTATTTTAAAAAGAAATTATAGCCTTAAGATTTTACATTGAGATTAACCCAAATATTTAAAAGGTTTTATTAATTCATTCCCTCTTAGAGGAAACTGCCAAGAGTTTGACATACAGTTATTTTTTAAAATAGCATTTGGATTAACCCAATTATTCTAAAGGCCTTTATTCATTCACCATCTCGTATATGGTAATTGATCAGTTCTTCTTGGCGCAAGTCGCTGAACAAGAATTCACACAGCTTCCAACTTTCTGCTCAGCTAAAGAATTTAAACCAAAATAAAAACAAAAAACAAAACCATGAGTTTAGTCTTAATTGAGTATATTTAGAAGTGAGAGAACAAAAAAAAGGAGGAATTACCAGGATCTTCTTTCGTGCTGAGATTTGAGCATAAGGCGGTAGCACAACCAAGCTTGCAGAAGGATTGGGTGTCTTTGACACCGCCCACTGTAGATTTCGGAAGTATACATCTCTGTAGGCATTTGAGAGCGCAAGAGAGCGCTGTAGTATCGGGATCAATCATGCACGGAACGAAGCAAGCCACGTAACAGACTCCTATAATTGCAGGTACAACCTGAGCTGTGGACTGCCCTACTAGAATCACCAACACCAAACAAACCTTCAAGACCGATGAGACTCCCCTTTTCTCCATTTATCTTTCCTTTCTTTGTGTTTGCAATAACAGATAGATGGACAGATGGAAATCTTGTTGTCTCTTCCTATTGTCTGAGAGAGGCCTATATAGAGTTTAAGCGGTAACTGTATGTGGTAGACATTGTGCTCCACTACGTTTATGCTTACAAATGGAAATCCAGTTAAGTTGACCATATTAAAGGGTCCATGACAATGCAAAGGATTCAAACTGATTGGTCTCCGAATAGCCTAGTTTTTCTTTTTTTCAAAAAAAAGAAACTCCTTGGTGTAATTGAAGTTAACGTTATTGAATGCAAAACCCAATTATCTAAGGTTAAAATAAGTAGAATAATTAGTTCTTTATTAGAAGTAAAATAGAACCGAAATCTTCTTCTTAGGATATGATAACTAAATTTCTCAATATTTTTCTAAAATGAGAAGTACAAAAATGGATCCTATCAAACTTAACAAGGATGCTTATGCAACTATCACACATCCATATTAACTAATTATATGAATGGTTATTATAAAATATACCGATGATGAAGACTTTAACTCCACATACGATTTAAATGGTTAACACATCTTTATTTTAGCTTATAATCGTATAAACTTGTTTTTAGAGTTAAAAGTTTTCACCGCCAATGTAATAAATAATAATCTTTATCTTATATATTGAGAGTCGATTTTCATAGAATTATTCTCAAATGGTTAAAATACTCTATAAGTCCTTGTATCGTGAGGTTTTCGTCAATTTAGTCCCCATAAAACTACTCAATTTAATTCTCGTATTTTGAGATTTTATGCAATCAAGTCCCTCCCTCTAAAGACGTCCAAATTAACTGTTAATGGTGCTGACATGTCAGACTATGCTGACGTTGAAATGACATGGTACTAACATGCTAACATTGCATGCTTGAATTTTTTTCTAAAAACTTTTTTCACATCAGGTTTTTGGTGCCATGTATAAGGGTTAAATTGAATAAAAATGTAAAATACACGAACTAAATTGAACAAAATTGTAAAGTACATAGACTAAATTGAACAAAGATCTATCATATAAGAATTAAATTGGGTAATTTTACAAGTTTTTGTTTAACATTACGTTTGTACCAACAATATACTTCTACACATCAAATGTTATTCTTTAGTAATTAAAAACTCTTAGCTTTCCATTTATACAAAAATTGTACAAACTAATTGCACTTTTTTTTTGGAGACGCTAATAAATATTCTCATTTCATTAAAGTAATCTAACTACATTCAATCAAGAAAACCTCAAGCAAACAAAAAAGACCTTGTGGTTCGACAACAACCACCAAGGTACCAAAAAAACATAATGTACATGACTCAATCTTTTATAGAGGCTTGTAACCTTTGTTAGAACAAAAATCAAGTAAAACTATAGCCTCGTACAATATCCACCCTTTACAAAAAGAAAGTCACCCATATATAGACAATATAAGAGAAACCACTGCAAAAAAGACCCTTATTCCAACAAACTCAACCATGGCCGCAAATTCAAATTTTCAGATCATAAATAAAAGTAAAGCAATGGCTGACTAATTGATATATAGACCCAAGACCCATAGATCCCAAACCTTTATTTTGGAAAAGGTTGAGGGTTTAGGGTTTAATTTGCAGAGCCATGTTAACCATAGCATGTCAACTAGATCATATATAAAAATGGATTACTAACAACTAACATGATTGCAAACTAAACCCTAAACCCTTTACAAACTAAAGGTTAAGGGTTGTGGGTCTTATATCTGTATACCAATTGCTTAGCCATTACTCTACTTTTATATATGATTTGGAAATCATAGTTTCCTGTCATGGTTGAGTTTGTTAGACAATGGGTCTCTTTCACTATGATTTTATCCACATTGTGTATATTTGGGTGGCTTTCTTTTGTAAACGATGAGTATTGCACAAGGACTATACTTTTATTTGATTTCTGCTCTAGTAAAGATTACAAGCCTCTTGAAAGAATTGGGTAATATATAATCTGTTTTTTTGTATCCTAGTGGTTGTTGTCGAATGACAAAGTCTTTTTGTTACCCTAGGTTTTTGGATTGGATGTACTAGATTATTTCAATGAAATGAGAATAGTAGTCTAATTAGCATTTTCAAAAAAAAAAAAAGTAGTCTAATTAGTTTATTCATTTTTTGAACAAATGAAAAGTTAATAGTTTTTACTTACTAAAGAAAAACCTTTGATCTGTAAGAGTATATTTTTTGTATAAATGTAATGCTAAACAAAACTAGTAAAAGTACCTAATTTAGTCCATATATCATAGATCTTTGTTCAATTTAGTTTCTATATTCTATAATTTTATTCAATTTAGTCCTTATAGTCTACTTTTTTTATTCAATTTAAGTTCTTATGATGTGGCACCAAGAAACTAAGGTGAAAAAAATTTCAAAAAGATTTCTTTGGGCATGCTAGATCATCGTTGCCATGTTAGTATGTTAGTGTCACATCATCACCACATCAGCATAGTTTTACACGTCAACACCATTAACAATTAATTTGGAAGGTATTAGGAGAGCTTGGGCAGGGACTTGATTATACAAAATCTCAAAATACAGGAACTAAATAGTAAAGTTTAAGAGTAGAGGAACTAAATTGACAAAAACCCCATAATACAAGGACTTATAGGATACTTTCACCATTATCCAATACATTGATGGTGGAGTTTTTAACTCCAAAAGCTGATATAGATTAATAAATTTTTTTTTTTTACTTTAAAAACAGATTTATAATTCAAAGTTAATTTCATTATGTATAACTTAATTAAATAGACACACATAGCAAGCATATATACCATTTGTGAAGTTTTTGAACTATACCGTCAATATATAAGATAATAATATAATAAAAGATTAATTTATAAATGGGTAATGGATTTATATTAGTTCCCAAAATAATGATTTCACCACTTTAGCAAACTCGAATCATCCATAAACTCACTAATGGGTCTATCGGCTTAAATACAAAGCTCACTAATGGATCGAAGTGGCATGCCATATAAAGTTAAAAGTTAACGATGCTAATTATACTATTCCTAACGTCCTAATAAAGTTGCTACATTTGGACTTTGTTTTGGTCAAAACTTTTCAATTTTCACTTCAATTATTTTAAATATTTGAATTAATTATAATAAACAAATATATCTAAAAACTAATATATTCAGAAATTTTAGAAAACACTTTTTTTTGTATTTTTATCAATTATAAATATAAAATTCCAAGAACTCAAAGTTTAAAAGTTTGAGCCAACAAAAAGGTAACAAGTGAAAATTTTATTACATTATAAGAATTAAAGTCGGTCAATGTATATTGAAATAATAGATTTGGGGTTTACATTAAAAAAATAGATTATGTGTTTTAATTTTATAGTTGAATTGACATGATAGTCATTAATGAGAAATGATACATGCCAAATATTTTGTTCTTAATCAATTTAGTTTTAAATTAATTGAAATATAATATTATATATCATACGATATTTTCAAGTAAAATTGAAATATTGTATTAAATTAAAAAAAACACAACCATGAATTTTGAATTATGGAACAAAACGTGCTGCACAAAAGATCAAGATTATCTTTGATATAATAATATGCTTAAGTGTGCTTGTACGGTAGGGACCGGGTTTTTCAACTGTTATTGAATGCTTTTCCACTTGCTCCAAGTGGACATGTATGGGGTGACGACGGGTTTAAAGTCGATAAACTGTTATTGAATGCTTTTCCACTTGCTTCAAGCACACTAAATACTTTCATTTTAAAAATTAAATATTAAGAAAAATTTTTAAAAATACATAAAAAATTACAAAGAATTTTTTTTTCTCTTTCCAAGTTCCAACACCATTACAACAATTGTTCTTTTCTTGTAATCCTCTTTCGATCTCCCTTAACTGAATCATCTTCTTCTCCTCTGTTTTTTCCATTAAAATTAGATTTAACAAAATTATGCAATTAGAGCAATAGAATAATTAAAGATTTCAAATTGAAAAAAATTAATTTTTTTCTTTTTTTCACTTGTAACTTCCTTTCTGAAACAACAAAAAAATAAAGATGAATACTGGGAGTCAATAGATTCAAAGGATTGCCTTTTGTTTTTCCGCATTGCAAAGATATAGACAAGGGTGTCTCCTATTTTGTACATCATACTAGCCACATCCATCTTGGCGAGTTTGTAACCGATGTCAAAACTTAAACTGAAATAAATCTTCAATTTTTTGTGTAAATTCATTCCCTCGTCATATTTGGCTATCTCACTTTTTTTTTTTGCAGTTATCTAGGGAAGTAATTAATGTGTTGAAGCGGTTATCAGTCGAAGTTGTTTGTGTTCCAATGACTTCAGCAATGGCATAGCCGAATTGTTGGACATTTTCAAATAAAAATATGATTTCATATCAAAATAGAAGGAAAATTGTAACTGTTGAAAATTAAAAGAAAAGTTGTGTCTATTAAAAATTAAATCAATAAATAAAATAAAATAAGAAAAGAGTCACGTTTGTTGGAAA